CCCCCTCACTCTGTAGGTGATCTATGAAGACTGTCACATGGTGACCCTGGACGCCCCGTACGTCGCCGGTTTCCTGGCCTTCAGGGAAGCGCCGTCATTGGTGAAGGCGGTGGAGACGCTGCGGGAGAAGAGGCCGGACCTGATGCCTCAGGTGAGATGTGTACCGGATATTTCCAACCCACATACTGTACAGTCTGCTTTGGATCTGTGTAGCTCCGGTTCTGCCAGATCGGATACAAAGTGAATAGATTGTTACAGGAAATCAGGAGGAGATCAGACAGGCTCAATATGAACAGTACAGTGTAGGGGATCAGTGTAAACGTCATTTTGTTTATATTGAGCCAGTCTGCGGTCTACACTGATACACAGTACAGTACAGAGAGCAGCTACTGATTGGATTCAGTGTCCGGAGCCATTCATGATCATTTCTGTGCTGCTCTGCACTCGTGTCATCATTGGAGACACACATCACAAACTGCTGGAAGAAGACAACCCCTGTATAAGATTACCTAAGCTCCGCCCTCCCCAGTGCTTCCCCCCCTGTGGGAAACAGAAGGCCCAATTAAAGGGATTCCTTCATGGCTGATTCTCAGTCCTGGTCTGCAGTTACGATGACCTCCGCCATTTGTTACCATTGTTTTTACTGTTATCATTTTTGTTCTTTTTGTTTCAAACATGATAAAGAATGTTACTGTTATTATTGTTACTATTGTATCTGAGAATTGTTTGTTATATGTCATTCATTAACAATTGACTTTTCCCCGTATCTCTCCTGTTACCCGAGCGCCGCACGTCTTTGCTTTTTGTTCACATCAGATTCTTATAATAGGGAAATCATGATAATCATATAATGGATGTGTAACAAGGACAGATTTTATTTTCCAGGTGCTGCTTGTGGACGGTAATGGGATCCTGCACCACCGAGGTAACTCTACAATCTGATGTTGTTGCTGTCACCCGCCGTGTACAGCATATCGTCACCCAGAAAGGGGAACACAAATTAAAGTCCATCTATAGTGTAAACGGGGAGAGCGGCGGACATCGGTTTGCCAGTCTCCCCTCGGAAGCCATGAGGATTTTATCACTTCCAGTTTCAAATCTGTGGCTGGGGATGAAGCTGATCAGGTGCAATCTGTGCTTGAGCAGCTTCATAGGTTCATAGGTGACATTAGGGGGTCTAATAGACCCGTGATGTCTCCTTAAAGAGGACCGGTCACCAGCAAAAATATGATACCACATAGGGGACTATCAGCCTCTTATGTAATAAAAATAAATGTCGTTCCTTCTCCTTTTCTGTTCCCTCTCCTTTCCCATCTCTTTTCCTTTCTCCCTTCCTGTCCCCTCTCCTTTCCCCGTTCCTGTCCCCTTTCCTTTCCCCTCTCCTTTCCCTTCTCCTTTCCCTTCCCCATTCCATTTCTCCTCTCCTTTCCCCTTTCCCCTCTCCTTTCCCATTTCCTTTCCCCTCTCCTTTCCCCTCTCCTTTCCCTTCCCCCTTCCATTCCCCTCTCCTTTCCCCTTTCCGTTCCCCTTCCCCGTTCCCCTCTCCTTTCTCCTTTCATTTACTGTTAGCTCTAAACTGATGAGCTGCTTCGCCTGTGGACAATGTGAAAGTTTTTCGCCGTTTCGCAGGCGCACGCAGTTTTGAGTCTTGACATGTTTGGTATCCATTTGTTCGGCGTAACCTTATCCATTATAATTTACCCACAAAATTGGGTATTATATTGTGTTTGTGCGCTAAAGTTGAATGCATTTGTTACTTAAAATTTAGGTTTTATAATCAATTGCGCCAAATATCATGCAACATAAATTGCAACTCCCGCCATTTTATCCTCTGGGGTTTTAAGCAATTTATACTTGTCTGCAATAAACCGTCTCTGGCAGCGAAAGGGGTCAGCTGATCACATCCACCTACAGTATGTATGTAAACCACTTTAAAATATCCGGTGTGTCCCATGCTTCTGTGTCCAGGGTTCGGAGTGGCCTGCCACCTTGGGGTCCTCACCAATCTCCCCACAATCGGAGTGGCCAAGAATTTGCTCCAGGTGGACGGACTGGAAAATAGCGAGGCGCACAAGAAACAGGTGAGAGACACAAAAGTCATGACCCCCACAGAGCATGAGCCCTCCCACAGGAGCATGAGCTCTCCCACATGAGCATGACCCCTCCCACATGAGGATGACCCCTCCCACATGAGCATGACCCCTCCCACACATAGCTCATCCATTGTAGCATAATCTGAATCTCTATGACCGGGCGGTGCACTGCAAACTGTTACAGGGAATGTACAGTCTGCGCAGAATCCTCACCTATCTTTTCTTTATTTTTTCTTTTACACACATATATATAATTATTATTAATAAAGATTTATTTCTCTCTCTCTCTCTCTCTCTCTCCCCTTCTTCCTTACTTCCCAGGCAAAGCAGTTAGAAAATGGAGGAGACTTTTTCCATCTAAAGGGCTACTCCGGCCATTTCCTGGGTGCAGTGAGTATTTGGGATTTCGTTCTCACCACAGCGGCGTAGGAAATACCTTGACTTGAGAGGAACATACTAAACACAGGGCTGGGGGGTGAGATTTTGGTTTGGTTGACATATGGGCTCTTGGGCACCTTGTAAGCATCAGACGGATCGTAGCCCAATCAGAGAACTGTCCTATTAGGGCCACCAACCTAAATCGTACTTTTAACTGAACATCCTGATTTTGTTACAGCAACACTAGTCAGTCCATACAGACAGTCCGGGTACATTTATGTCAGTAGGACTTCATTACGGGGTTATATAGTAATATTGGTGTACGAGAGGAGCGGTGCTTAAAGGAGAACTATGGGGTCAGTTTTTTTCCCCATAGTCCTCCTTAGGGTAACGGGAGGACACAAACTAGCGTTCTCCCGTTACCCTAGGCTCAGTATATAGGCAGCTACAGCTCTCAGGATCGAGAGGTGAGCGAACCCGGTATGTGTTCGCTCACCTCCCGATCTACTGAGCCAACCTGTGACAGTCTCATTGTCACAGGTCGGCTAGAACTATGAGGTGAGTGGAAATCACTCATCTCATAGTTCTCCTTTAATTACAGAATTTAAAAGTAAAAATTTTTTCTCTCTCCCTTCCTCTGCCAGGCATTAAAAAGCTGCAAAAAAAGCTCCAAACCCATCTACGTCTCAGTCGGCCACAAGATCAGTTTGGAGACAGCGGTGCGCCTGGTCTATTCATGCTGCAACTATCGAGTTCCTGAGCCCATCAGGCAGGTAGGGTGTATAGTAAAGGTGGTTGTATAGGTGGTGACAAGGTCTGTGTGCAGAATGAAAGGTTGAATGATTTTATCCAGTTGTGGACACTGAACGGGGGATGTGCATTACGTCCCGTCCTTCTGCACTGCTGCCGTTCTCCACCCCTTGTATTTGCAGCAATTCCCGACTGTCAAAATGACCTCCAGGAACTGATTTTACAGCAGCTGCTGCTGTCAGAAAATGGACGTCTGACACAGAGTTTATAAACATTGTTCAGATGTGAGAGAGAAAGATACAAAGTAACACTATTAGTTTTGCATTTACTCAGTCCTATTCATCTGCAGATCATAGGGATGAACTTCCATCTGCTTATGATGCATTTTAAAGCAACCTAAAGCACAAACAGCCGCAACTTCTCATTAATAGCAGAGGTGTTAGTAGCCACACTGCCCCATCAAGGCTCCTCTGTCAAATCCAACAACGCTTCCAACCTTGGACATGTACAGCAATAAATAGATAAAGTCAGGCATGCATGGAGGCAACTAATTCCTTAAAGGGACAGAGACAGACCAGAAGCCTGGTACAGCACACGGTGTCTGGCTGCCGCCCCTGAAGCCTCTGACACCTGAGGCTGTATGTAGGAGAGCGCCTGCTGTCCCTCCCTGCCCTGAAGGCTTCACAGGCAGCAGATGGACACCCTGGTGGGCCAGGAGGGGGGTAAGCTATACATGCAGCAGATGGACACCCTGGTGGGCCAGGAAGGGGGTGAGCTATACATGCAGCAGATGGACACCCTGGTGGGGCAAGAGGAGGGCGAGTTTCAACAGCAGATGGACAGCCTGGTGGGGCAGGAGGAGGGCGAGCTTCAACAGCAGATGGACAGCCTGGTGGGGCAGGAGGAGGGCGAGCTTCAACAGCAGATGGACACCCTGGTGGGCCAGGAGGAGGGCGAGCTTCACAGGCAGCAGATGGACAGCCTGGTGGGCCAGGAAGGGGGTGAGCTTCAACAGCAGATGGACACCCTGGTGGGGCAGGAGGGGGCTTTACAGGCAGCAGATGAACATCCTAGTTCACCTTAACTTCTGCATACGAGAAGGCTTCTTTTCCGGTAAGAATTGTGACAATATAGAATAGACCTCAGGAGCTAGTCCTAGCCGACTCTGTGGATTGCTTAAAAAAAGGCTGGATGTGTTTCCAACTGTTATATATATCCATAGCTATTACTAGTTCTAAGTAATAACACCATAGATTCTTCATCTGACTCATAGAGGGGAATTTATCAAAACTGGAGCAGAAAAAATCTGAAGCAGATTTGCACTGCAGCCAATCAGCTTCTCTGTCTCAGTTTCAAATCTTACCTGGGCAAACTGACGGGAGATGCTGATTGGTTGCCATGGGCAACTGCTCCAGATATTGTCTGCTCCAGTTTTGATAAATTCCCCTCATACTGTCAGATGGAGTATTGTTGCCTTTGACCCTCCTGGGGGGGATTTCACTTTTACTTCCTGTCCTGGTGACATCACATGCATCATGTCTCCAGGACAGAAAGTGAGGTGAAATCTCCCCAACCTGAGAGAGGATATTTACCTTATTCACTCTGTCCAAAATAAAAAAAAGTTTTTGCTGGTTTGGTTTGAAAGCTGAGCGCTGGGAAAATGAAAAACAAATAAAACATTATTATTCGGGAAATTATATAGCGCCCATAGATTGAGCAGACCTTTACCAAGTGAAAGGAAACAGAGTAGAGTTACAATACAATTCAATACAAGAGGATTACAAGGACCTCCTCCTAATTCTCTTGTATTTAATCCTCCTCTTGAGAGCTTACAATCTAAAAGGACGGACCCTTGTTCTGGGGCTCCCCCACCTCTGCTCATTTTTGTCTAGGGTTCCTTCAAATGCAGGATTTATTTACCTTACCCCCTCACTCCCCCAGCAGCTAGTGTTCTCCTCTTCCCTCTGATGCTCAAGGTTGTGAGCAGCCCTCGGCAGGCTCATTTGCAGTACAAGACTGGTGGTCCCCGATTGTAGGTGATGACAAACAGAGTGCGACCAATGAATGGAGCACCCAAGCGAAGCAGCTTTGGTGGACCGGTCACGTGGAGAGGAAGAAGCCTGCTGGAGTGGGAGATAAGGTACCTTGTAAGTAAATCTTAATTTAAAGGTACCCTAGACAAAAGCGACAAGACAAGTGTATGTATGTTTGATCTGGATTCATTATTGAAGAAAAGAATGAGAGATTAATATTACTTTACTATGTTCTGCTCTGTACTGGGTGGTATGTTCCTCGAAGTAGAAGTCACAATTGTCCACCTTTTCCTGATCCATATGTACCCTGCAGAGTCCAGCCTTCACAAGCTGACCTCCTTGTTCAATTCATTTTGTATTTCAGGCTGACATACGGTCCAGAGAATTTTTGCGCAAAGATCAAGAGCAAAATCAAACAGAACATGGAGTAGAACCTCCAGCGGCACCAGTTAGCCGGACCAAGAAGAAGACTGGGGCAACTCTTTCTGCTTCTAGCTGACTTTGTTTCTTACCTCAAAAGGTCACTTTTCAGTGTTCAGTAGATGCCGGACAGTTACACCAGCTTATGGATTGTTTGTCTTTCCGGGACTCTTATTGGTGAGATCTCTGCACTCAGGTTACTGGGTCTGTGCCCATTATGATGGGTTCCCAATCTGCCTGATGAACTTTTTATTTTATGGGAGATGCCAGAAAACTAGGGTCCCATTCACACCTGTCTTTTCTGGTGCACGCATGTTATGTCACACATTAATGTGTGCTTTGTTAGTGCAGCCCAGTCAAATGATTAAGTTGCCAATGCACCAGAATGGGACGCAGATAGAACATGCACCATTTTTTTTTTTTGACACTGCAGCACAAAGCACGGCCTTACCGTGCATTGTGGTGCGCTTCAATGCAGCAGTGCATCAGCGGTGTATTGAGTTAATGCCCTGGGGTGCCATTGAATGGCACCACAATGCACTAATTAATAATGTGCACGTTCCTGCAATGCACTGCACTAAAAAGGTGTAAATGGGCCCTAGAGTGTGAGCCATAACATTGGGGTCAGTGCAAGAAAATATAAATATGGCGGAGAGATTTCATCATCAGAATCCACATTAGATACAGGAAGATCCACTGAAGAGTAACTGATATATCCCCTTTTGGGGACCCTTCAACAGCCTTTCTGTTCTGGAGATACTGAGAGGCTCATGTATGAAGGAGTCGAGGAGTGGGAACGTTTTGGCTGTTCATTCCCATCGACCATTTTAAGAGTAACGGTTTAGAAGCAATAGCAGGTGACAGTGTATAATGGCCGTGGGTGAACTCAGGGGACGCCATTGTGGTCTGTAGGCAGACTGGGAAATTAAATGGAGGATTTGACATGGCACTGTGATTTGTCTCTCCTGAGAGCTCATTTGTCCTTGGAGTTTTCCTGCAAATCCATTTTATAACGTGAACACCCATTTCAAGTGGTGATCTCATTCATCAAGAGCTCATTTACCCCAAAGAAAAAACAAAATTTCCCTCAATGGTGGGTAACACAAGGTATGTGTGTACTGAAGTATAAGATATGGTCAGTTAAAGGGGCTTGTGTGTTATTTACTGTGTGGATGCTCATTTGGGGCCTTAAGAAGTTAATGGGAGCTCCTCCAAAAACAACATCCATTACAGCACACGCTCATAGTTGTAAAGCTGGCCTTAAATATGACATGCTGCATTTCTTTTTTTAATTCATGCACCTTAAAGCCAATTCAGGGTTGTTACCAAATCATTACCTTATTATTATCATCATGTTACTAATCCCCTCCAGTTGATTAAGGATCTAATGTTTGTTTTTCTAGGTGATGAGATAACACAGGAGAAAACCTTAATGCACGGTTCCATGGTCTTCCTTCCAAGAGCTCTGGTTGTGATGACCAGAGATGTACACAAAATATTCCTGTGTACAAAGCCAGTTCCATAAAGACATGGTGTGACCAGCTTGGTGTGGAGGAACCTGAGTGTCCTGCACAGAACCCTGACCTCAACCCTACTGAGCACCTTAAGGATGAATTGGAATGCCTATTTCAAGGAAGACCTTCTCATGCAACATCAGTACCTGACCTCACAAATGCTTTTGTTTGGCTGAAAGAGCACAAATTCCTAAATACAACCCCAAAAGTCTTGTGGAAAGCCTTCCTAGAAGAGTGTAGGCTGTTATAGCTGCAAAGAAAAAGGGGGTGGCAACTCTATATCAAAGAGGAATAAACTCTGGAAGCTGTTCCGAAAAAAAGTCAGGCAGTAGGCAGAGGAGTCGCCACCAGTATTGTCTGGTCCTGTAGTCTTCCTCCCTGCCAGCTCCAAAAAATGTTCCTGTGTACAAAGCCAGCTCCATAAAGACATGGTTTGACCAGTTTGGTGTGCAGGAACTCGAGTGTACTGCACAGAGCCCTGACCTCAACTCTAATGAACACCTTTGGGATGATTTGGAATGCCAACTGCAAGCCATGTCTTCTCATCCAACATCAGTACTGGCCCTCAACTAGTAATTGTGGGTCCTGTGGTCTTCCTTCCCGCCAGCTCCTGTTGTGACAACCAGGCCCCTGAAGCCACTTTTGTTGATTATCTCTGACTAGTCTTATCAAGCCCCTCTTCCCGGCGTCATCATCTTTAGTGCAAAACCAGCAGCTGGTCCTGAACAGGTCGAAAAGAGGGGTTGTTCCCTGGAGTTCTGATATACCTTAAATTTCCCCTTTAGTATTAATTAATCATTTGAATAGGTCCTCAAAGGTCATTTAACCAAAATTAATCAGATCAAAAAAGAGGGTAACAGTGTTTTACCAGAGAAAACACTGTGAAAGAAGGTTATTAAATTGACCGAGACCTATGATTCATATCAAAATATAAACTTTATTGATTACAAAAATAATGTTTCCGGTGTCTGTTATATCCTCAATATTATACCCGTTTATCATGGAGTAGAAACGGGTATAATATTGAGGATATTCCCACTTCAGGGAACGACCAGGAAATCAAACACTGCCAAGTTTTGTGGGAACGCTTAGTCTGCATGAATGAATGGGAGTATGAGTGTCATGAACAACGTTGTTCTTTTAATAGTAATTTGAGAAGTGAAATAACAGACACCGGAAACATTATTTTTGTAATCAATAAAGTTTATATTTTGATATGAATCATAGGTCTCGGTCAATTTAATAACCTTCTTTCACAGTGTTTTCTCTGGTAAAACACTGTTACCCTCTTTTTTGATCTGGTCCTGAACAGGACCTAGAATTACTGGTGGGGGTCAGGTACTGATGTTGGAATACCTGGGTGTTGCATTTCAACCCAAAGGTGTTCAGTTGGGTTAAGGTCAGGGCTCTGTGAAGGTCACTCCTGTTGCCCCAAAGCAAACTGGCCAAAACATCTCTCGATGGCCACCCATGGCGTTTCATGGCTGAAAAGGAGGACTTTGGCAGAACCGTGGGTTTAGGTAAGGATGTGTATATAATCCTATATAGACAGAAGGAGCAATGGATCCTTAGATCATTGAATGGTACACCCATAAGAATGCTCGCATCATGCAGTTCTGTGTTTAAACACCATGAAAACCTCTTCACTGAATGTCTAGTCAAGGGAGAAAAATATGCACACAGAAGAACGCACCTTTCTTTAATTGCATTAAGTATGAGGGTCCAAAGGCTACTTTTTTGTCCATGCCTTATTCCTATTATTGTGCTGATAGTGAGCCAAAAACAAGGGATAGGGAGGACGGTCTCCACCGATGTGCCTTAGACGTCATTGTGAATATGCAATTATGCTTTTAAAATTAAATAAAAAGGATTTTTTAAATATTTTCATATGAAAAGGGTTATTTAAAATGTGGGATCTTATTGTTATCAGCACTTTAAAGCTGATCTCTGGGAAAGGCAACGATTGTTTAATTACAAGAGTCATGTTTATTCTTTTTTGAATCTTGGCGAGCTTTGTGTATTTCTTCCAGATCTGTGCAGTAATCCAGTGGGACACTTGGAGCTTCCTGTAATAAACAACCGGTCACTGCTGCTCTCTCCTTGTGCAGGGTGACTGGTCTTGTCTCTGCCTCCTCCGGTAACAAAGACCGCTCACTGCTGCTCTCTCCTTGTGCAGAGTGACTGGTCTTGACTCTGCCCCCTCCTGTAATAAAGACCGGTCACTGTTTCTCTCTCCTTGTGTGCAGGGTGACTGGTCTTGTCTCCGCCCCTTCTATAGTTCTCTACAGGCAGTAGTCTGTAGTAGATGGGACGTGCAGGGTCCTTCCCACAGCTCTGGTGTCTGCTCAGACCATATGCAGCACAGTGATTATGTCACTTTTAAAATGTAATATCTGTGTTTGAAAAGGTATTTGGTGTACGCAAATTGTATTTATATTCTCTGCCCTATTGAGGAATATATACTGTGAGGGGGAATTTATCACAAGCGGAGCCGACAAAATCTGGAGCAGCTGTGCATGGCAATCAATCAGCTTCTCTCTTTCATTTTCAAATCTTAACTAAACAGACTGAAGCGAGAAGCTGATTGATTGCCATGCACATCCAGATTTTGTCTGCTCCCGTCTTGATAAATTTCCCCCTGTATGTTTTTGTGCCCGGATTTCAGCTTGAACGGAACAATGTGACTTTTCCCTCATGAAACTTATCGACCTTATGAAACAAATGGTGCGAGGAGCAAGGCATTTGTGCAACACCAGCAAGAATTTCTACCCTTCCCCAACCTACACAGAAAAGAAGCACTTCTGTTGTCCTCTGTGTCCCTAATTCCTGTCTTTGATGAGCTCCATTTTAATGGGGCAAAGGCAGCCATTAAGACCTGACAGGGACTCTAACAGGGTTATTCACAAAGGGTGAAGAGTTTGGAGAAGGCCGGAGAAGTGAACAATCTAGGACAACATAGCTGATTGGAAAAATTCTCCAATTCAGCTCACTTTCCAGTTCAGCTATGTTGTCCTAGATTGTTCACTTCTCCGACCTTCTCCAAACTCTTCACCCTTCTGTGAATAACCTGTAAATTTTCCTCACCTTATCCTAAACAAATGACCTGGAGTTGTGCTCTAAGTGTGGTAACCAATAACAATCAAAATGTATCTGATCTGACTGTAGAAGGAATTCTGATTGGTTGCTTTGAGTTCCTGCACTGAAGAATCAGCCTTGTCTCCTTTTATTCTTTATGGAATACATACAGTATATTACAATGTGCTGAATATATATTTTTTATACGTAAAATACATTAAAATGATTATATTTGAAAATAAATATATTTCAAATTTTTTATCAATTTTACCTTTTTATCCCATAGATCTCTTTTAGGGCCACAGGAGGACATATGCTAACTTCCTGCCCGCTATATGCTGAGAGCGCTGCAGCCGGGATGGATCCCGACAATACTGTTGAGATCCACCCAGCTGGCTGATTGACAGCGGGCTCTGCCTCTAGTGCCCGGAGCCAGCTGTGCCCGCCCCCTCCCTCATCCATTCTTCCAGTCAACGCTGGAGGATTGGAG